AAGCCTCTTTTTTTTTTTTTTTCATTTTCCCAAATTTGACGTGTTTACAGGAAAAGTATCTATCCTCAAAGCTGATAAAGCAGTTAGGCGAGACACACTCTTGTGACCGCAAAAGGCAGCTGACGCTGTCTGTAAAGCCGTTATTTCCTCTTTTGTTTGAGAGTCTGAGAAAATGTTGGAGGGGATCCACGGGAGGAGAGCGCATCTACTTGAGGGAACTTCTCCGCACAGGTTACAGGGCAAACCAGTGCCGGGAGGTCAGAGAGATCTGTTTCAAGGAGGGATAGCACAGCATGACTATCGAAGGCTGGTACTTGCGAGAACTTACTCTTGCTGCTGGCTGCTGAAGGAGATGCATTATCGAAGAAAAAAAAAAAAAAAAACCCACAAAAATTTCCCGTGAAGAGACACCATCGTTACTGGTCATTTGGCAACCTGGCTTGGAAGCTCGCAGCCTGCTAAAACTGCTGACTTTCTTTTAAATAGCAAAGATGTTAATGCAGTGCAGTCGATGTGCAGACTGTCGCCCACTGGAAAGCAGCAAGCAATACACGTGTATATAGAGGTCATTAAAAACACAACTCATTTTCAGTGACGATTTTTTAAATACACCAAGTCACCTGGAAGCTACAGTCGGAATTGCCTTCTGAAGCGGGAAGCCGTTTAGATTAACGGCAAGAATTTGGTTTGTGGGCCGCTCTTGGACTTCAGGGAGGTCCCCTTTTTTACTAAAATACAATATAGAAACGCAACTACAGTTGACTCACAGAAGCACTGGGCACGCAAACAAAAAACTGAGATGACCAGCCATTCAACTTCTACCTCTCCAAAATTGCTTCTGTTGCGTCTTCCCTTTCACTTAAAAGGGACTACATCTTCTCAATAATGAAAAAGGGCAACGTTGCATTTTTTATGAAGCAAAATAAAATAAAAAAAAAAAATCTTTTTCAAAAGAAAATTTAACAATTCAACAATTCAGTTTCTACCTGCACCTGGTATACTTAAAAATGTCACTGAACGGTACTAAAACCTGTTGTGAGGCATTTCAAATACGTGGTAAATTACTTCTTGATTTCCCTCATTAAACTTTCATATCGGCTATTAAAGCCCCTTCTTTTCACTTCTGATCAGAAGGAATTCAAAGTCTGCCGCAACTCCTGTTAAATAAAGGAGAGCGAACTTTTTCCACTCGGTTATCGTTTCCCTGCCAAGCGATAAATCTGGCGAGGGCGCCGGCGGCGAGCCCAGCCGCCTCTCTCCGGCAGCCTGACCCCGGTGCTGAAAGGACGACGCCAGCGCCCCGGTTATTTACAGATTTCTAGTGACAGAGCAGTGCTTTGTACCGCTTCCTAAGCTACCTCCAATTTTCAAGGAAAAGGCGGTTTCTCTCTCGTCTCAAGCTGTAAATAACCAATTAGGGATTCCGCTTTATGCTGCGCGTTGCGCGGCACCGCACAGAAACCTTAGCACGTGTAGGGCGCTTTGCGATGTTTTATTCAACTGCCCCAAGGACTGGATACGTAACGTGTATTTATTTAGGAATGTATTTACTATTGGTCACACTTTTTAAGTAGGGCATTTTCAAAAATAAAAAAGGCGGCCGGACAGGCAGAGCCCGCTTGATAATGTAATGCCGAAAGTACCGAGGCTTTTTCCTCATGTGCCGTTGCCTTTGGCGAGAGCCGCAACCTCTGGCACGCCTGAGCTTTTGGCTCCGGACAAGTAAAACTCATTTTCAGAGACTGAGCGCTATGGGAAAAGGCAACGAGAGCTTAACACAGTAGCGTTAAATGTTCTTGTACAAAACCCTGCTAAGGCCGTAATTAAAAAAATCATACGGGCCTTCGGGGAAGAATTTTTAGCTTATAAAAATAATTTACCTGCTACATTATGGGCAAGGCATTTTCTCGTCACTCTTCATTCACGATTGGGATGTTTTCATTATTTTAACCTTCACTCCAGACTTCCTGCTTTGCCAGCTTCAGAAGAGATTTTTTTCACCCTACCTTTTCATGAGGATGAGCAGAAATTCTGCCTGCGCCGAGGCAGCAGCGCCTTGTTTCTGCCTCGGCGGGGGAGCTGAAAGGCAGCTCCGAGCTTCCCCGTCGCCGAGCACACGTACGTACCCGCGGGGCTGCCTGAAGACGGCCACGCAGCCGGTGTAACTCATTGCAACGGGCGTTGCCCGTGGTCTCGAAAAAGCATCCAGGAGCTCTTCAAGCTCTTTGCTTACGATGGGGCGGGCTCAAAATTTGGGAAAAAGAAGCGAAATTTCAGTCATCGCTTTTGCTGTAGCAAAAGACCACCATGTATAAGGTCATGGCTGCTTATACATGTCCTGCTTGCGCAGGGGGCGAAACGCGAGCCGGGCATCTCGCCCGAAGGGTCCCACGAAGGGCAGCGGTCCCACCAAGGCCGAGCTCCCCCGCCTGCCGAGGAGTAACGGCGGCTGGGAAATTAAAAACTCACGCCTTGATTTTGAGGGGGGTGAGGGGCAGGAGAGAAGAAAAGGAAGGGCATGGCAGAAAAAGGGCTTGCTTCCCAGATTCAGCGGTGGCAGACTCTCAGAGGTGTTACTCTCCCGGCTCCACCACGGTCTGCCCGTATTTCGGCTGCAAGTAGGCAGAGGACTGCCATTTCAGCCCCGCTGGCACCCTGACACCATGAAGGGCAAAATGAGAGGGGAAGGAGGGCTTAAGCTCGGTAAACCCGGCTTAGTGCGGTGCAGCAGAAGCACAAGCCTTCCTGCCGGCCATGACCATGCTGTTATTGGAGTTCTGGCAATGAACAGTGCAGAGAAAGGAGAAAGTGCATCAGAAAATTTAGTTAAGCTCTCAGTTTTCAACAAAAGAGTTAACAACGTTCGTGCTTTAAGTCACTCATGCATCGCTGCTGTCAACTCCATTCCAGAAGGAAATCGGAATGGCAGGGGCTTTGCTACCGCTTTGACATGCACACACATACAGGACTCCTTTCCCCCCCAGTCCTCTAGGATACACTCCAAAAAAGTAAATGACTCAAAAATCCTTTCCCCGATTGAAGTATTGTGCTGGTTCCACACTAGCCTTACGTTTCGTTTTCTTTGCTATCAATCTCTTTTTTGGGTTCTCTTTTTTCCTTTTTCTTTTTTTTTTTTTTTCCCCTCTTTCCAATTTTTTCTTGCCCCAATTCATTTAAAATCGTTTTTGGAGAAAATCCATTTGGCTGTAAGTTCATGCCCATGCATTTCTAGTCATTCACAGACATGCTCACTCCCATCGGACATTGGTAAGAACAAATGGCCAACATACAGAAACACCTGGTATACTCCATACACACTCCAGCAACACAAGCTTGGAAAGAAACCCCAGAGTCTTCACGGGAAAAGCACCCCGCGAGGGCAAGCGCAGGGGAGGTCGGCACAAACCGGCTGAGTTTTAAGGCAGGAAAGTTTGCGGCAGCTCATTTGACTGGGATTGCTTGTCATTTCAGCTGTCAAGCTCCTCGTGGCAGCAGTCTCCCCACCGACAGGGGTGGAAATACTCAGGGGTTGTCCTCGAGTTAAAACCAGGCTTTTTACAGCCTTCCCCAATACAGGTAAAAACGAGGAAAGCCATCGGGAATTGCGTTAAAGAAACGGGCAAGGGCTGCTCAGCTGTGTGTCAGCTGCTGCCCGATCTTTCCCGGATTTAGGGATCAACATCCGTACCTGCACTTTTCTAGGGTTGTCCGAGGAAACAGAAAAAAATTGTACTGTTCTCTGATACCACTGTTCTTTCGCCTGAACGCATCTACCTCGCCTCAGCAAATTCTAGTACTAAAGGCAGAGCATCTTGGCTGACGTGGGGCAGCGCTGAAGACCCCGTGCCGAATGCTCTCCCTATACTCCGCTGAAGCGGGACACCTTGCAGCCACACCCGCAGGGTACAACGCACCCGCCGTGACCCCGATCGTGGGGCTAGAGAGAAAAAGGGGCACAGAGCCTGGCTTCCTTTCAGGCCAGGCCTTGGGTCTCTCCCAACGTTCCCACCTGCTCTCAGACACTTCTAAGAAAGCGAAGTGCCGGGCTGGTACTTCAAAGGAGCAGTCGGTCCCTTGCTGCCCGAGCCAGCGCAACCGAGTAGACCCGCAGGGAATTAAACTGTGCCACCATCTTCAGAGTTGGCTCTTCAAGGTTTTCCCCATGGCTTAACGATTTGGCGATTAACATTTTGCCTCCGTCTGACTTTTCACGAGCGTTAGCGTAGTGCAGGATGAGATGTCGCTTGGACTTTTATTACCTCGCCATGACTTTCACTGCCGTAGCTACAAGATTACCAGTGCTGAATCTTGGCATTAAACATGCACGGGAAGATGGGTGGAAAACAGAATTATGCCTGAAGGCTTCCAATTTTTATGTCAAGTGGGAAAATGCATCCAAGTAGGTAAGTTATGTGGGACAAGAACGGCCTGTCCCTCCACTTGATATGGGGCATCACTACTTAACCATCGCTTTACGCAGTCCTCCCTCTATCATCGCCCAAGACAGGCCTCGTCGGGAGGAGGCAGGAGAAAGAGATCATTCTGCATTATGGATTTCTGTCAATACAAGAAATGGTTGATTCGTCAGAGTTAAACGAAACTCAAGTAGCAGATTCAAACTTGGATTAGCTTTCATTAACATTGTCAGAGGTTTTGGTTCTCTAGCTGAAAAGCGAGCTCGCGCCCCAAACCGGTATGCTCAACTCCCAGCCTGAAGTGACTACTTAGGCTCGCTCTGACAACGTAGGAAGCTAAGGAAGCTGTCAGGCCGCTAGCTAGGCTGCCCTGAGCAGGTGAGAAGGGTTAGTTTGCTAGACTGCTACGCCGACAGGGAAGCGTTGCGATTTGTTTCCCAGATCTCCTTCTGCAGTGTAATCACGCCAGCTGCACTGCTGACCTCCGAGGCGTCTGCTCCTCTGTGGAGCGTCCCCAGAATTCTGGACCTGCCGGAACATGCTGTCTTCGAAATGGAAGAAAAAACGCTCAAGATTTCAAGCGCCTCAAAAAAAATCAGTATGAATTCCTATCTTCAAGAGCTGGATTTCTTTTTCATGCGTGAAGCGACCAGCCCAGTCATTGAGGTGAGCAGAGAACCAGTCGCTGCCTCGGCCCGGCGTGTACAGGTCCCCTTGGTTTCCACAGGGCTTGGGGGATCGGTGCTTACCTGGCACCGGAACAACCGGCTGCGGAGCTCACAACCGAAAATGACAAGACCAGGCAGACTTTCCAGCCTTAAAAACTGTGTTACATTTGTGAGATCGGTCTACCCGAAACATGGTTTTCCCTTGAAGACTACATGTCCCTTTTTGGCTTCCCCTTCCCAGGCTTGTCTTGCCACTCAGCAGCGCTGAGAAATAAGATAAACAGGAATGTGATACCAACCGTGAACTGCCGGTTCTGTCGTCGCCGTTGTGTCTACACACGGGAACAGAGGATTGGAGGAAGGGAAGAAACAGGAGGAACAGCATGCAAAAAAAGGGAAAATGGAAAAAATGGAACAGATAATATATGAGCAAGCTTTCAAAGAACATTGCGTGACAAGCAATAATAAAATGAAAGGCAAAAAGCATTTGAAGTGAGTTGCACTGTTTAGAAGACATGCCTCCAGTTCAAAAGCTATGAGCCTGAGGAAAACAGTAAATTTTTCTCTTTTTCCAGGACCTTGCCAGAACAATTACTGGTGGTTGCAAAGTCAGGGGAACAGGAGACGAGGGAGAACACCGACACCAACGCTTCGGTTGGTAAGGACCAAAACAGAAGCTCGAGGCCAGGGCAAAGAGCCGATGCTTGGAAAACAGCTTTCACGCATTCAAACATTGCCTTCACCGAAGTGCTCGGGGCCTGGGAATGACCCGCTCCCACCTCTTCTCCTCCTTCGTCCAAGGCAGGGAACCACCAACACGTCCGTGTGTGGCACGGCCTATGCACCCAGGCCGTTTCAGAGGTGGCAAGCAAATGCTACAAATGAAGCGACTGCTAGACATCTCCCACCTAGCAGGGAAGGTGCGAGCTCTGCCTCGGCTACAGCCAACCACGCACCTGCAGGATGAACCATTTTTTCAGAGTAAAAACCAGTCAGAATGGGTAAACGCAGGGAGACGTTACCGGTCCCTCCACTGCAACAGCTAACTGGTCAACAGTCGCTGGTAATTAAAAGCTACCGGGGGTTTTATTGGTCACTAGTCTGAGGCTGACTTCACTCCGTACGAATTGCGTACCACCGGAAATTTCTCGGGGTTGCTGCCTTGCCCAGGGACAGACACTTTTGTCTCTTCATGGGTGTTTACGACAGGCAACGTTCAAGACTGACCCAAATCTGAAGGCTTTTTCTGACAGCGTCCGACCTTATTTCCCCTACACCGATAGGTCCAAATCACATTTATTCAACGTTACCCAAACCACTGGCCTATTTAGTTATTGAACCTCATTTACTTTTCATCTGGTTCTACGTATTCTGGGCTGCTAGTGACATGCTTTAGTGGGCTGGCTCCTGGCAACCCAACCGCGACTCTGCAAATCCCTACCGATACCCTCGAGCCGACAGCAAAGCCCAGGAGGTTTCGCTCAACTCTACTTGGTTCGATGCAGGCAATGTTCAAACGAGTAAAATCGTAGGAGTAAGGGTAGAGAAGCGCTCTAACCCCATATTTTTGCAAAGGAGCCCGGAGCTTGCGTTTTGTAGCGACGACAGACAATTCACATTGGCGTTTCCCCTCGTTAACACGCCGTCCGGAGAACCCGTGGACAGGCGGTCCTCCTGCGCATTTGGAGGCAGCAGTGGAAAAACGAGGACCCCTTCCTTTGCAATTTGGCTGAGGACAGCTCAGGTCTGAATTGCTGAGGCACCGGTGAAGACAAGAATCATACAAGGAATACACAATACTTACAGATACAAGGTCTACATGCTTTAATTATGAAAGCAAAACAAATAAACCCTGCGCAATTTAACAAACTGCACCAAGATTTGCATAACAGATTATCAAGCCGTCATTAGCCTGTTTCCACTGCCAGCATCTACTGTTCTCATCTTGGCAATCAAATCTAACGCACGTTTAAAGACGCTACAGCGCTTGTTCTCCTGCTGGGAGCTCTGGTGGAGGCTGCAAGGGAAGCCTTCCAAAGCAGAAAGGAGAACAAGAGCGGGGCTGTTCTTTGTTTTCAGGTAGCAATCCCCAAACGATGCCTCGTTTTAACCAAGCAAATGGTGAAGGGGGAAAATGGTGGTGAAGGTGGGGGGCGGGGGGAAAGTTGTTGTTTAGAAAGGGTTGCAAAACTGAGCATTAATTCCTGAGATAGCGGCTTGGCATCTATAAATAGTCTCAATTTACTGTCTTCCTGAAATAAAGAGAGTGACGTCAGCTTTTACGCTAAATAGAGAATCTGCTGAAAGCAAACTCGTATTCACGTGCTGGAAGAGATATTAGTCAAGAAACAGTGCAAACTGGACAGTGCATCTCGCTTCCCCGTCTGGGGACAGAGACCAACAGGTTACAAAAAAAAAGTTCTCAAGCGGTTGTAAGTGCGAACAAATATCCAAGTCAAACAACATGTTGGCTGCAGCTGGAATGACAAAGTTATGATTAGCAAATGGTTTGGATGGTTGCAATAGGAAACACAGACCAGTTAAAGTTTAGAACAAGCTTTCTGGAAGTCCTTTTCAATCCCAGAGGCTTCTTTGAGAAGGAGGAGTGTACACACACAGCGTGCCGAAGAGGAATAATCGCATGTTAAAGTAAAGCAAAGAACGTGTCCCCCCCGCCCCCGACACAGGCACGCTACTATAGCGGTTGCATGGCAAAGGAGAGAAAAATTGTCACTGTTGCTTTGGTATGAAAGTAACGAATACACATAAAACCGTGCGTATGCCAAACGGCCTTACGTAGGAAGGAGCGTCCCCGGCCCTGCAATGCTGCCGCTAAGACAACCTATAATGTTAAGACGGACTGGCTAACTGTAAACGTGCTTTCCCAAATTCCCGGTACGTGCCACTGACTTCAACTTCACTTTCAAGAATGTTTATATGCCAGAGCAGACACACCGCACACCCCAGAAAGCAAGCCTCTGCCCCATGTCCTAGAAGAAAAATGATCTCTTCTCCTCAAATTTGGACCAAAAAGAAAGTCCTCGAGAGGTTTCCGACTTTGCTAAGCTTGAACAAAGCCAATGAAAGGCTTTGCCGTCACCCAAAAGCACCGTTGTGGTCCCGAGCTGTTGGTGTGAAGGGCAGTCACACAATCGCATGAAGCTGACACCGATCATTTAAAACGATAAAGTTGGTGCTGAAGAAAGGGCTGTTTTACAAGATGCGGCAAAGCAGAGAGGACGTAGAAAGCACATAAACGAAGCGGCTTGACCTGGCACTTTCTGTCTTAAGACTGAGGCTTCTCTTCCTGATTCTAATCGGTAAGACAACAAAATGTGCTGTATAGGGCGAAGTAAAACCACGCAACGGTCTTCCAAAATCTACGCGTACATAAATTCACCAGAGGACTGGTTTATAATTCAAAAAGGTTTCCAAGAAAGGAACCATTGGCCTCTCTAAAGCTGCAGATTTCACTTAATCACGATTTCTTTTTGGTATCAGTCGTAAGAACGGAGTTTAGCGTGGCCGGCTCTCGAATGAAGACACTAACACGCCTCGTCTTGCGATACAAATGGTCTTATCTGCCAGCTCAGAAAGTCGGATGACACCTAAGTTTTAGGCACTCCCCACTTGATTAGGCAGCTACGCAAGCGTGCTCGCACGCACACACACGTATATACACACACATATGTACAAAATGGTTGCACGAAGGCATCTGGGCAACATTTAGTTGAGTTACAAGCTCCATTGCTAAGCCTCCTCGTTTTTTCAAATGGATCCTCTCCAACTTCCAACTGTTTGCGGAGTGTGACAGACTGGGCCCTTTAAACTAGTCTGTAATTAGTCCGCAGCCTCAAACAGAACGAGCACGATGGAGGAATATTAAAACCCTGGCAGCAAAATTAAATTCACCAACTTGAATGCTTGAGCCGCCATGCTGCAGCCTTACTGAAGCACACGATACGCTGCAGCTTAAAAACACACAGCTATTGTAAAGAGAATTACAACAGCACGGCATCAAAATAACAGCAGAATACACCTCTTCTTTTAAATTTAAAGAGGTATTAAAATAAGTCTAGATATCCGTTCAATATATTGCTTTCTAAATTGCTTTCTGAACTGAAAACAAAAGCCAATCTGATCACTGACTTGTGGAGCTCTTAACTCTTCCCGATTTTCCAGACTGCTTCACCCTTTGCTGACCGGGGCAAGCATGAATTCCTTCACGTTGCTGTTTTCACAGCAGCCTTAGGGACTGGCGTGCAGGATTACAAACAGGATTTCTGCTTTGTTCCAGGTCCTTAAGCCCTACAAGAATCCCTGTGGCTCCCACTGAACAAACACCCGTTGGACATGAGCAGAGGTGCTACCTTTCGGTAACGTCATGGTCTGAGGGGCAAAGGAGCTCAAAAAACCCCCAGAGCGTAAAAGCACAGCAATCCTCTCCCTTGCTAAACGCTCCTCGGAAGGACAGGTGAAAAGGTACTCTGTGTTGTGGTATGCGACGGTGATCCTCCGTAAAGCGACTCCAGCTTGCGCTGAAAGCTTTTGTGTACGGGCGCGCTGAGACGCGCCCCAGAGACAGTCTGATTCACGGACCAGATGTTTCACAAAAAAAACATCGCAATCTGTATGGAAGTTGTGTGTGACAAGGACAAAAATATTCCAAAATTAGCGCTGCGGCTCTGGCTACGCCTTTTTGCACTTCTCCATAAAGATCTGTGAGGATGCTGGTTTTATTTAAACCCTGACCTTGTGAACGTTGTACCTGCCCGCCGCTTCAGGCAGAAGCCAACCACACGCGGTGCGGGCAGGGATGTTCGCTCCCGCTGCTCCGCGGAAACTGAAGATGCCTTGGGTTCAGAACATTGCCCGGCATCGTACAAACCCGCCGCGAGCCCTGACCTCTTCGGTGCTCTACCCGCAGCCGGCCCGCACCGCCTGGGAGGTGACACGTCCCCTTGTCCAGCTCCCTCCGCCCTCGCTCTCCTGAACGTACACCTTTTCCACCCAGCGAAACGACGGTTTCTGCACCGCTTACGCCGCGTCACCACCGGTAAGGTCAGATGTGACAGTACCGTGTCTGCTACTGACTGGACGTAGTACTAAAAGACTGCATTTTATTTCATTTTATTTTCTGTAACAGGCCTGTCAGCTACTCTCTCTTCCTTTATTCCCTTTAATGTGGCCACATCCTGGATGAAAATGTCAGAAGAGCATGGTATCATCTTTAAATTAACTTGACATTTTACCAGGGACACGCGGAAGCCGCAACGGAAAGCCAAAGTTAACTAATAAAGAATTTGGGGGAACAAATCGCTGGGCCGTGTCC